AACCAAGGCCTGGATAGCCTGTGCAGTCGTGGCTAAAGCCTCGTCCTGGCGATCGATCCTGGCGTTGCTAGCAGTAAGGAACTCCGATATCTGAGAAGTACTCGCTGGATCCATGGTAAAGGTCAGTTCGTTTTGTCACGCTCAAAATAAATGTTCGGGTGGATCCAATAGCGAGTGAACAAAGTAATTTATTAAACACAGTCAAACTCAAAAAAGGCAGGATGTAACAAAAGAGTGAGGTGCTAAGGCTAGGGGAACAGGACAGGAATCGAACAGGAAATCAGGCTCTAGCAGAAGCTCCTCACGGTCCTGAGCACAGACAGAGAGACACACATGAGCACACGTAACGAACTGACAATGAACATTAAACACGTAGCACTTAAATAGTCACGATGATGTAATTCAGCTGGCGAAAAATCAATCCAGCGGAGTGACGTAAGGCCACGTGACCAAAACAACACACGTGGGCCACAAAAGCAAAACAAACCCACATGATCACACAGACATTCCGGAAGAGCGCACAAACCTGCAACCGTGACACTCCGGTGTTGAATTATTGTAGGTGGTTTGTCATACAACAGTTCATCGTGATCAGATTGCCATGCTTGCTCTGTAATCACAGTCCTTAAAATGACATTGAGATTGTGAGAGCAGGAGTGTGTGTGTGTGTGTTCGTCCGAGTGGGTGATTGTTGTCCTACACAGTACAGCCACTTGTGGAAACTTCAATACTGTTATTACTGAAATTGAAGAGCTCTCTATTTCTCTCTGAGCCATAAGGAGCATTTATACTGACAGCGCGACCACAAGTCAATCTTTTTCTGTGCTGAGGAAGATGAGATAGATGAGAAAGGTTGATCTTTGCCTGAAAGTGTTGTATGTTATTACTGACTTTCTACCATGCAGAAATCTTGTCTACAGACATTGAATTTTAAACCAGAGCATCCCATTATTATTGACGTTTTTATCAAAGCGATTGAACTACAGAGAAAGTTTCATAATATAGTCTTCTGCTGGATCCCAGGACATGCTGGAGTCTGGAAATGAACAAGCCGACAAAGCTGCCAAAACAGCCCTAGCAGGAAAGCTAAAGGAGTGCAAAATCCCACCTTCGGATTTAAAGCCATTAATAAAAGGCTATGTTCTAAACCAGGGATTCCCAAACTTTTCAGCCCACGACCCCCAAAATAACAATGCCAGTGACTCGCGACCAATCCTTTAGGAGTTTCTTTCTACTATTAAACACAAACTAAAATATTTTGAAGAATGTTGGAAACCTGTAACCATTCACTTCCACTGTATTTGTGTTTTCCTTAGATGGAAGTTTCAGCATTCCAATAGGTTTTCAGCATTCTTCAAATTATCTTCTTTTGTGTTCAACAAAATAAATGGTTGAAATCACATAAGGAAAAGTAAATAGTGAGCAAATTTTAATTTTGGGGTGAATTCTGCCATCATTTACTCAGTCTTTACTTGTTACAATCCTTCAGGAGTTTTCTGTTATACACAAAAGAAGATATTTTGAAGAATGCTGGAAACCTGTAACCATTGACTTCCATAAAATTTCTTTTCCCTTCTATTGAAGTCAATGGTTACAGGTTTTCAGTATTCTTCAAATTATCTTCTTTTGTGTTTAACAGAATAAAGAAACCCACAAAGGTTTTAAATCACTTGAGAAAAAGTAAATAGTGAGCAAATTTTCATTCTGGGGTGAATTCAGACAATATTTACTCTCTTCACTTGCCTACAATCCTTTAAGAGATTCCTTCTTCTATTAAACACAAAATATGATATTTTCAAGAATGTTGAAAACCTGTAACCATTGACTTCTATAGTTTTTCCTTCTATGGAAGTCAATGGTTACCGGTTTTGAGCATTCTTTAAATTATCTTCCTTTGCATTTAACAGAACAAAGAAACTCATAAAGGTTTGAAATCACTTGAGCAAATTTTGGGGTGAATTCAGGCAATATTTACCAAGTCTTCACTTGTTACAATCCTTCAGGAGTTTCTATTTTCTGTTGGACACAAAAGAAGATACTTTGAAGAATGTTGAAAACCTCTAATCATTGATTTCCATAGTATCTGTTTTTCCCTTTATGGAAATCAGCAGTTTTCAGCATTCTTCAATTTATCTTCTTTTGTCTTCAGCAGACGATAGACACTTCTTGAGGGAGAGTAAATTTAAACCCATTTAATATTAATGTCATCTAAAAACATACCAAGACTTTTTAATTGTATACAGTATACTGTTTCAAATCATGTTTTTTATCATTTATTTTATTTTTAATTTGCACATAATATAGATATACATCCAATAATGTGTACAGTAATATACCTTTACATACATTTACCAAATTTTATATTTTGATTCTCTATTTACTTGTTTTTTCCTTCCTCAATTGTTCCTTTAGTTTATCATTTGTCCTGTCACTCTCAAACAAATTCCTCATATGTGTAAACAAATCTGGCAGTAAAGCTCTTTCTGATTATGATTAATATAAACATGTGATATCTGTCATATTTAAATGCCATTATAATAATTATTAAAACATCATTTGATGTCAGTGTGAGCTATTTTAGACCATTAATTTAGTCTAGTTTAATTTTAGGAATCACGTTACTTTATTTAGACATTTGAGTTTTTAAATTAATTTTTAGCATTATTTATTTTAGATTAGCTTCAGTAATTTCAATAAATCGACCCCCCAATGGTGGTTATAAATACAGAAACCTTGCATGCAATTGCGCAGACACACCAATTTAGTTTTTTTATGTATGTCAGTGCTGTAAATGTGCCAGAAAGTTTAACCTGGTGTTATAAAATCAATCTGCTGCATCTGACGCTATTGCTGTGTCTTTAATGTAATGTAATTACCCCAGGGGTCACAATCCAAAAGAACTAGTATCTAGAAGCCACTATAGTAACTATATAGTACACAGTAACTATAAATGACATTTTTTTCTTTTCAGTATAGTTATGGATAAAATATGGTCATTCTTATGGTTTAATAAAAATAAATGGATATTTGGAAATCACCAGGCGACCCCCCCCCCCCATCCCCAAGTCCAAAGACATGTAGTATGGATAAAATTGGTAAGCTAAAATATGCCGTAGTGTATGAGTGTGAGTGAGTGTCTATGGGTGTTTCCCAGTGATGGGAAGGGCATCTGCTGTGTAGAACATATGCTGGATAAGTTGGCGGTTCATTCAGTTGTGGCGACCCCTGATTAATAAAGGAAGTAAGCCGAAAAAAGAGAATGAATGAATGAATACTGGAAATGGCACAGGCTTCTCCGGAAAAAATATTATAAAGGGGATGTACAAGAGTTATTTTCGTGGAAAAATATATTTCTTTAATTAATTTTAACTTAGCATTTGCCAGGGGTATGAATAATTTTAGACTTTACTATATGTAGACTATTTCAATATGGTAATGCTATTGGTCCATGAACATTTCAGGCTTGTCAAACTATTTTAATAATGGTAACAAGAGGCAATTCAATCATTTCTCAATGTTAAAACAGCTGTCATAACATTATTTATCAATATGTGGACCTTTTAGGACTCTCAGAAGCTAAGGAAATTGATAATGTAATACAGAAAATACATTAGGACCATTGTTTTTGTTTGCGTCCCTCAAAATGTATGTAGTAAAGGGGAGAAGCCGGTGTCATTTATGGTAAAAGAAATGTTGTATATATATGGGCGAAGCAGTAGCGCAGTGGGTAGCATGTTCACCTCACAGCAAGAAGGTCACTGGTTCGATCCTCGGCTCAGTTGGCGTTTCTGTGTGGAGTTTGCATGTTCTCCCTGCGTTCGTGTGGGTTTCCTCCGGGTGCTCCGGTTTCCCCCATAGTCCAAAGACATGCAGTACAGGTGAATTGGGTAGGCTAAATTGTCCATAGTGTATGAGTGTGTGTGTGTATGTGTGGATGTTTCCCAGAGATGGGTTGCGACTGGAAGGGCATCCGCTGAGTAAAAACTTGCTGGATAAGTTGGCGGTTCTTGGCGGTTCATTCCGCTGTGGCGACCCCGGATAATAAAGGGACTAAGCCGACAAGAAAATGAATGAATGATATATATATATGAGCGATATCACACGAGTAGCCGTGTGATTTGGCTGTATATCGGCACTGGTGGGAGGCGGCCGAGTGCCTTAGTGCCTCCACCAGTGCCGATATACAGCCATATCGCAATGCTACAGGTGTGATATTGCGTTTATACAACAGTTTGTCGGTATAATTATGTATATAAAAACAAAATTAAACACGGAGAGTCTTAAAAACCCTTTTGTATGAGGAACTACTTTCTTCCGCCTTGGATTCAAATCATAAGCTGACAGTTAAACAGTTGAGCGTGCATCTTTTAAACTTTAGATCTCCCTGCTGAAAAATCCAGCTTAAACCAGCCTAGGCTGGTTGGCTGGTTTTAGCTGGTCGACCAGGCTGGTTTTAGAGGGGTTTTGGCCACTTCCAGTCTGGTTTCCAGCCATTTCCAGCCTGGTCTTAGCTGGTCAGGCTGGGACATGACCAGCTAAAACCAGCTTGTCCAGCCTAGCCAAGCTGGGAGTCCAGCTAAAACCAGCTATGTCCAGCTTAAACCAGGCTGGTCAAGCTGGTTTTAGCTGGATTTACCCATACACAATGGGTAGAGAGGCTGTACTGGTGCTGATATTACTTAAATATATCACAGCTATCAGCCAAGACCAGACAGAACTGTTGTGTGTGTGTGTGTATATATATATATATATATATATATATATATATATATATGTATATGAATGTATGTGTGTGTGTGTGTGTGTATATATATATATATATATATATATATACAAATATATATATAAATTAAAATGCAAACTTGGACTTGTATTGTAGCTTTGCCATTGTGACTGGATCTTTAAAAGCTCCACTGAGTAAATAGCACTAAAATGTCAGCTGTGATCAATAATAGTCTGGTTTTTTTTTTCTTCATCTTTGTCTGTTTGTCCTTTTCTAGAGAGATGAATGGATGACCTTTGACTTCCTGGCGATGAAGACGACCTCTGTGGCAGACAGACGAGCGCAGAAAGAAGCAGAGAAAGAGGCAGAGCGACAGAAAGCACAGGCGATTGAACAGGTTTTCTGTCAAATGTTCACTGATTCATTCTGACCAGACGTCTGCTGTGTTAGCGAATGATACTGGGCCTGTTTCAGAAAGGGGGTTTAGTGAAAACTAAAACTGAGTATTTTAACCCTAAAATGAGAGAAACACTGGGTTTTCCGTTTCATAATGGCAGGTTTGTTAAACTGGAGAATAGCAGGGTAAGTCAAGCCTGTTTCTGAAAGAGAGGTAATGCCGAGTTCAGACTGCATGATTTTCAAAGTAGTCGGGTCACAGATGTTTTCACACTGCATGACTGTCCGGGCTAGCGATTTGTCGCTGCTTTGTTTGCACTGCAAGATGGATTGGCGTCAGGGGCTTTCACATTGCATGACTGTATAATAGGAAGAATCGCCGACAATTTTGTTTAAACTACGTCTCACAACCAAAAACACGTGGTATATCTTTTGTTATTAACTACATTATGAGAAAGAAGCCGTTAATGGCATAGACAATTTAGATATTTGCTCATCCGGGTTTGAAGGGAATTAGCAATTTCTCCTCAACTTTCTTTTTTAACTTTCTAGATGAAACGTCAAACAGACACTGTTGCTCCTGTTAAACCTTTACTAGTTTTTCCTCCATTTCTTGGGTACAAATAAACCGAAAATGAGCGCTTTTAACTTCTCCCCAACCTCCCGCTTGCCTGCTGGTACACACACATAGATATATACACTAGAAGTCGCATAGGGATCCTGAGCATTCGTCAGTAGCACCGCCACATTGGTACAGTGCTCCCAGGACAAATGTCATTCAACCGCACAAGTCAAGACAGTGTTATTACGTGAAGATGCGGGACTTTAGCGCTGTCTACGGGTGTAGTAACAAGTAAACAAAGAAAACAAAGCACAAAGGCAGAACATTTCATAGGTAAGATTAATATTTTGTATGTTCTGAACTTTTGGGCTACACGGGTAACGTTATTGATGATAACAGTCACTTACTGCATTCACCATTAGACAAAGTAGCTCCAACTAGCACTAAACACTCGGCTTATGCTAGTTTTGTTGAATAAAATCAGCAAACAATGCAAACGAAATATGACAACGAGATGCTGCGCTGCCAGAAACTTGTATTATTGTCGGCTAGTGAAAGAGTCGTTCATAACGGAGATTCATTCACAAGCGAATCGCTCCCTCCGTCAGTATGAGAAGTGAAAGCAGGAGAGGAGCTGTGTTTCAGGACATGATTAGATCAAATTTAACAGGGAGGGTAAATAGTACATTTCTGTACACACAAACACAAGCTTTTTGTCAGGAATGTCCGTGCGGTCACTGATTCATCAATGTAGAAAAGTGATGTAAAATTATAATTTTCGTAATTAGAAAAAAAAATTACATACTAACATCCAGGAAAACTCCCGATCACAGATCTTTGTGTATATGTGTACATCTCTGGCTTTGGATGGCCACAGTCCTCCACTGTACCTTGGTCCCACATTCATTTCAAAGGAGCGCTACCCTGTACTAAGATGGCGGAGCTATTGACTGATTCCGTCCAATAGACAACAATAGGCCAGGTGACATCTAATGTATATATCTATGGTACACACACACACACACACACACACAAGTGAATGCTGCTCTCTCATTGGCTGTAGGCGATTGCTGATGTTATTTTCAGTCAAAGCTCATTTCACACAGCATGATTTGAATCGCTGACAGCTCCAAATATTTAGCAAGCCAAATATCTCACGGGCATCAACGACACATTGGCGATTCTCTCAGATCGCGTCTTTGACAGTTAATACTGTGTGATTGTCACTCACGTGCACGAGCACCGATTTGCCTGTGATTTCAGGCATTTGTCGGCGAGTCGAAATTGGGGCTAAAATCACGCAGTCTGAACTCGGCATAACTTTAACTCAGAGTCAGCTACTGTGGTAACTTACTCTGTGAACCTAACCTGGTCATGAACAGGTTTTATTCTCTAAACTTGGAGTTTCTGTCGGTCTCCTCCCCTTTTTTAAAGACGAAGCGGTATTTCTCGCCTTAGCCTTACGTTTCCACCCACGTATTTTATTTGCTCATTTTAGAGATGCGCATAAAACGATTGATGGAAACGTCATGATGCACATAACTTTTGAAAATATGCATAAAAAACATATGCGCATAACCGAGCATAGATATATACATTAGGTGTCGCCTACCCTGTTGTTGTCTATTGGAAGGAATACGTCATTAGAGCCGCCATTTTGGAACAGGGTAGCAGTGGAGGACTGTGGCTATCCAGAGCCAGAGATATACACATATATCTATAATCGGGAGTTTTCCTGGATGTTAGTATGCAAATTTATTTATTTTTAATTACGAAAATTATAATTTTACATCACTTTTCTACATTCATGGATGAGTGTTGGCATTCCTGACAAAAAGCTTGTGTTTGTGTGTACAGAAATGTACTATTTACCCTCCCTGTTAAATTTGATCTAATCATGTCCTGAAACACAGCTCCTCTCCTGCTTTCTCTTCTCATACTGACGGAGGGAGCGATTCGCTTGTGAATGAATCTCCGTTATGAACGACTCTTTAACTAGCCGACAATAATACAAGTTTCTGGCAGCGCAGCATATATTCTGTCATATTTCTTGTCATATTTCTTTTGCATTGTTTGCTGATTTTATTCAACAAAACTAGCATAAGCCGAGTGTTTAGTGCGAGTTGGAGCTACTTTGTCTAATGGTGATTGCAGTAAGAGACTGTTATCATCAATAACGTTACCCGTGTAGCCCAAAAGTTCAGAACATACAAAATATTAATCTTACCTATGAAATGTTCTGCCTTTGTGCTTTGTTTTCTTTGTTTACTCGTTACTACACCAGTTTTCACGTAATAACACTGTCTTGACTTGTGCGGTTGAATGACATTTGTCCTGGGAGCACTGTACCAATGTGGCGGTGCTATCAACGCATGCTCAGGATCCCTATGCGACTTCTAGTGTATATATATCTATGATAACTGAGTAGGATAAACTTTTATTCGATAGAAAAGATGGACATAAACTACGATGGAAACACTTTTACTGAACAAATTAATTGTATGTGCATTAAAAAAATGTTTGTTATGTGTTCATTGTCTTCTGAGGCGCAAGTACATTTATTAAATAAAGAAAAGATTGACGCAGCTTCTTCTACAGCAGTGGATTCCGTTCTTACTGTTGATATTTGGCGCCAGTTAATCAGGAAGTGACGATTTTGTTGTCTTTGACTCGTTGGGTGGAAACGCTGCTTTATTTGCACGCCTTTTATGCGGTAATCCAGTTTTGCACATAAATTTATGTAATATATTTGGATGGAAACAGAGATACTGCCTACATTTTAGTCACACACAGAACAAAGTCACGTACGAGAATGGCTTGTCCTTTTTTCATAAATAATTAGCTTAAATTCACTGTCCTTTGACATGTACTGTAACTAGATTAATGGGATTTTTATTCTTTCTAAAAAATATTTTTTTAGTTCTGCTTACCTTCTTAATGTTAAATCAACCTCAATCACTTGATCAATAAAAAAGGCAGACACACATGTGCAATTTTAAATCTATTAAAACTGATAAACGTGTGTAAAAGTAAAGAAAAAAAAAACACACATAACATTACTTATTTTATTATACTGAAATATTTAAATACTTTAAATGTAAAATTACGTATTAACTTGAGCAGCTGTTTTGCCGCGCTATCTGTCTCTGTTTCACTGATGGTTGCTTCTTTTTAAATATATACGCTCATATTTGCTATAGCTTTGCATGAGCACATCAAGTTCAGCTGTAGAAAGAAATGCTCATCTCTTTTTTTTTCAGATGTTGCCATGGTCACTCGTAATATCTGCGCTCCATTGGTAATGCCTTTTTATAGTCGCAGTCTGCGCTTAAAGCTGCAGTCACATCGGGTTTTTCCCCTTATAGACTTCCATTCATACGCACGTGAATGTGTCAGACCGGAAACGCAAGGTCATGCGTCAAGTTTCAGAGGTTGCTGCGGTGCAAAGTTCAAGCTTGGTGAACTCTGACCTGAGAAATCGCTTCTTGAACAATCGAGGATCAAAACATGACATCTCTGGGCAGAAATTTAAAACATTGAGCAATCGCTGGCTTCTAAAAATGTGCAACAAACTTGTTTAATCCCGCCCCTTTTCGCAGCGCCGCACGACAGAATATCGCATGCTCCAACTCTAATGTGACCGCAGCTTACTCAAAGTTGATTGACCTAACTCAGATCAGCTGTTCTAACACCGAAAACTCTTGAGTTTTTAATCTCTCGGTAAATCAACTCAGAGTTCAAATTTAAACTCAGAGTTGGTTGAACCTCCTTACTGAAACAGGCTTATTAAAGCAGTCTCAATGGTGGAGTTTAAAAATGTAAATTAATTATTGCTTGGACTTAGTTATGTATATGCCTAAAATCAGATTTGAACTGCTGATGTTTATATAGAATGACATACAAATCGATTTTAGTATAATGTTTGTGTTTTATTTATTTTTAGATATTTTTGGTCAGAGATTACAATTAAAAAGAAAATTCACTTCATACTTTCAATTCTCTTCTCCTCGATTCAGATAGTGACTGCTGTTGAACTCGGACTTTTGCCAAGAGTGTTTTGTTGTGTTGAAGAGTCGGTGTGTGTGTGTGTGTGTGTGTGTGTGTGTGTGTGTGTGTGTGTGTGTGTGTGTGTGTGTTTCTCTTTCTATCAGGCTGGTCTTCACAGGTTAGAGTTGAACCCTTACTGGAAGGATGGAGGAAGTGGTTTGCCTCCAGAGGAATCCTCCAGTACTGCGGTGAAAAAAGGTGAACCTGACTCCGATTATTTTTATTTCATTCGCTGCAGGCTCTGCAGTGGGTGTACAGTCCCATACAGTGGAAAAAAACAAACTTTTTTTATAGTCATTTAGTAGTTTTCTGTTGAAAAATGTTACGTTTAATTTACCTTTATCCTATTTCTTTGTAGTTATGGTAACAATTTATTTTCAGGACCAACTCTGAGTATTAACTAGTGGCTTGTTATTAATACATTGACTGTTCATTAGTACTTATAAAGCACAAACTCCGCGTGATCATATTCAGCGTCCTTAATCTTACCAAATACTAAACCCAACTACTAAAAAAAGAAAAAAAAAAAAATACTAATACTTTCCTTCTTAGACTTTACAGACCTGAAACTTGCCTATAGCACTTATTCATTGTTGCTCTTAGTTGTGTAAATTGCTTCCTTGTCCTCATTTGTAAGTCGCTTTGGATAAAAGTGTCTGCAAAATGACTAAATGTAAATGTAAATGTACTACATTAAGTATTATTAATAAGTTTATTGATGCAAAAGTCATAATTAATGATTTGTTTATAGTCAGAATTTGACCTTAAAATTAATAATAATAATTACCTACATTTATATAGCGCTTTTCTGGACACAAAGCACTTTTAGGGGAATCTCCTTATCTACCACCAGTGTGCAGCATCCACCTGGATGATGCGACAGCAGCCATATTGTGTCAGACCACACACCAGCTGATTGGTGGAGAGAAGACAGAGTGATGAAGCCGATGATGATATGGGGCCATGATGGACAGAGGCCAGTGTGAAAATTTAGCCAGGATGCCGGCTAAAACCCCTACTTAAACCCCTACTCTTATTCCAAGGACATCCTGGGATTCTTAATGACCACAGAAAGTCAGGACCTCGGTTTAACGTCTCATCCGAAAGACGACGCTCACTGAACAGTATAGAGTCCCCTTCATTACACTGGGGTGTTAGGACCCACACAGACCGCAGGTTGAGCGCCCCCTGCTGGTCTCACTAACACCATTTCCAACAGCAACCTAGCTTTCCCATGTGGTTTCCCATCCAGGTACTTACCAGGTTCAGCCCTGCTTAACTTCAGTGGGCGACCCTATGAAGTTGCAGAGAGCTAGCTGCCGGCAACATGGAATAATACTTTATTAGTAGTAATAAATTAAGTGTGACTAATTTTTTGTAACATGTATTACACTATAATATAAAAACTATTGGATAAATGTTATAAAATACAATATATTTAATGTATTTTATATGCAATGTATTAGCAGAGAAAGTGCAGTATATTTGTTTTCATTTGCGATGATGATGATGAGGATGATGATGATAAAGATGAAGCCTTTATTTGTCACAGATACTTATTATATATATATATATATATATATATATATATATATATATATATATATATATATATATATATATATATATATATATATATATATATTAGGGCTGCTTGATTTTGGGAAAAATTATGATCACGATTATTTTGGTCATAATTGTAATCACGATTATTCCAAACGATTGATCAGTTGAAGTCAAATTTATTAGCGCTCCTGGGAATTTTTTTTTTAAATAAATATTTCCCAAATGATGTTTAACAGAGCAAGAAATTTTAACAGTATTTCCTCTAATATTGTTCTTCTGGAGAAAGGCTTATTTGTTTTGTTTTGACTAGAATAAAAGCAGATTTAAATATTTTGAAACCTCTTTTAAGGTCAATATTATTAGCCCCTTTAAGTAATATATATTTTTGATTGTCTGCAGAAGAAAATACTGTTAAATAATGACTTGCCTAATAATACTAATTAAGCCTTTGAATCACACTTTGAATTTGAATGTTTGTATTCAGTTATTAGAAATGAGTGATTAAAACTATTAAGCTTAGAAATGTGTTGGAAAAAAAAAACTTCTTTCCATTGAACAGAAATTGGGGAGGAAAATGGTTGCTAATATTCAGGAGGGCTAATAATTCTGACTTCCAACTGCATACAGTTATTTTCCTCCCTGCAAAGGAAAGAGAAATAAATACAATAAAATTAAAATATGAAACAAACTGTGGTTTAAGCATCTTCACTGTAAGAAAAACACTTTAGCTACAAAAGTCTTCAGTCAAGAGCAGAGAGGGATTTTCTCGTTGTTTTATTAATCATGATAAAACAGGCGGCAGTTGTGCTCTGTCACTTTAATGGTTTCGCTTTCACGTGTCCTTTGATTCTCAACTCGTTTGTTTATTACAAAATGAGGGTTAATATGAATAATCACTGAACACCGTGTTTTGACACCTATTTGAACAGTAAAGCGTTCATGTTAATGACTTTAGATGTGTGTGCTCTCTGCTCGTCACAATGTCGAATGAGACCGAATGCTGACCACATGCTTGACTATTTCTGCGCGCAGCACACACACGCACATAAGCATTCAGTCTTTCGCGCTTTTAAGAGCAACAAGTGAGGACAACTGGAAAGGGGGACGGTAAATAATGGAATAATCGTTTATCTCAATTAATGCATTTTTATTATCGTTAGAAGCCATTATTGAAATCGAAATCGGATTTTAGATTAATTGCACAACCCTAATATATATATATATATATATATATATATATATATATATATATATATATATATATATATATATAAATAAAATACTAGCAAAAATGCACCCCCCCACCCCACCATTAAACATTCATCACACATTTCAAGAAAAACAGGTCAACAAGAGGTAGCTTTTTAGAAAGAGGAAATAAGATACATTTAGGAAGAGAGAGGCGAGGAAAAAAAAACCCTCTCACTTTGTCTTTGAATTAGGGCAGTGTGGGATCAGGGGAAAAAAAGCCCCAGTAACCAAGCACATAAACACACAGACATTACATTGCAACAGTGGATGGGAACAGGGCATGTGGATATAGACCAGTATTTTTTAGTGCATGAGGATTTGATAACTATTTATTATTATGTTATTAGATATAAAATATTATAATATTTGTATATCTATTATATAAATTATATTTATATATAAAACAACAGCATTACTATTGAAATAGTTTTAATAAAACATAATTTTTTTTTCAATAAATGTAACATTTATCACATAAATTGCAATAAATGTCAAATATATTCTGTTACGCATGTAAAATAATCAATGATTTGTTTGCATTATTTTTAGACCTTTTTCTTAAGCTTCAAGTGTCTGCAATATCAGTTCAAATAAACACTTGCCGCAAGATCCCATCTTCTTAACAAGGTGTAGTTGTAACTTAACGCACTAAAATGAATTGTTAATAAATGCGTTAATTTCGTTTTGCAATGTTTCTAGAATGTGTGGTGTGATGTTGATATTAAGCTGACAGTGCCGTCGCTCTTATTTGAGCTCTGTGCATGCGGATTGGCGAGTGTGTATATCTCACAGATGTTTGACTCAGATCTGTGTGTTCCTCAGCTGGAGTGGTGAATGATGGAGGGGTGAGCTGGCTCCGAAAGTCCTATCAGAGGATGAAGGAGCAGGCGGACAGAGAGCAGCGCAGTCTGGATAGTGTGGTGGCCGAGAGATATGGGGTAAGCACACACACACACACACACACACACACACACACACACACACACACACACACACACACACACACACACACACACACACACATTATTTACTATGCTATATATCTATTCATTCATTTACTTTGACTTAAGTGCTTTATTTATCAGGGGTGGCTACAGTGGAATGAACCGCCAACTATTCTGGCATATGTTTTACACAGCGGATGCCCTTCCAGCTGCAACCTAACACTGGGAAACACCCATACACTCCTGCATTCACACACATACACTACGGCCAATTTAGCTTATTCAGTTCACCTATACCACATGTCTTTTGGACTGTGGGGGAAACCGGAGCACCCGGAGGAAACCCACGCAAACACAGGGAGAACATGCAAACTCCACACAGAAATGCCAACTGACCTAGCCAGGGCTCGAACCAGCGACCTTCTTGCTGTGAGGCGTAATTATGTCTTTGTGTTTGTAATTTTTCCTCATGCAGTCAATGGAGGAGTTCCAGAAGAGACTAAAAGAGGCAGAAGATGCTGCGTATGGAGAGAGGAGAGATGATGAGAAGGAGAGAGGGAGGAGAGAAAAAGGGAAGGAGAGCTGGAGGAGAAACGACAGAGAAGAAGGGAGAGAACAATGGAGGAGAGATGAAGAAAAGGACAGATGGAGAAGAAATGACAGAGACGAAGGGAGAGAAAGGTGGAGGGGAGATGAAGATAAGGAGAGATGGAGAAAAGACGGATGGAGGAGAGGAGAAAGGGAGGACAGACGGAGAGAAAGATCTCCAAATGCTGAGAGAGAGAGAGCGAGATCTCGTGATGACCTGTCCAGCAAGTTTCTCAAACCCTCAGAAGATGATGAAGTGAGCCGAGGGGCGGGGTTTAAGAAAGGCTCTTCGTCCAATCAGAGTGCAGCATTCAGAAAGCCTGTAGATGATGTTGAAATGAGCAGAGAGGCTGGATTTAAGAAAGGCTCATCATCCAATGAGAACGCAGCATTCAGAAAGCCTGTTGATGATGATGATGAAATGAGCAGAGGGACAGCGTTTAAGAAAGGCTCTTCATCCAATCAGAGTGCAGCGTTCAGAAAGCCTGTTGATGGAGATGATGATGATGATGATGATGAAATGAGCAGAGGGGCGGAGTTTAGGAAAAGCTCTTCATCCAATCAGAGTGCTGCATTCAGAAAGCCTATCGATAATAATAATGAGGGTAGAGGTGTTGCAGCTGCCTGGAGGAAGAGCAGCGCTGTTAAGGATTCAGAGAGACCGACCCTGCAGAAACACACAGAGAAGAGCGCCGCCCTGCAGGAGGACAGCAAAACAACTACAACAGTGAGCAGGTCAGTTTAATGCGACGTTTCACTTGTTTGAGATTTTAGTACTTGTATACATATATGTTTATATCTGTGTGTGTGTATTTTGAAGTGTTTGCAATTCATTGTTATTGAATTTAACTCCTTTTTTATTCATATTCAGTAATTGTTAATGATTCAATGAAAGGTCTCAGTGAAGTCGTATGGATTGTTTCAAGTCATTATTTAACACTTAAATTTTGTAAATGTTTCTTACATCAAAACTCATTGGGGTTTGTTAATCTTTCAGTTCAGAGAGTGAGGAGGAGGAAGAGGAAGAGCTGATCCTGACAGACGAGGAGATGAATAAATTGGGAGCCAAAATTGTCAAGGCAGAAATCATGGGAAACACGGTGAGCATTAAATCTTGTCTGAAAATATTGTGAACAGCCTACTTAGACATCAAGTGCTGACCAATGCCTCATTCACACTGTGGCTCTGGGTGGCGTTTGAAACCGTTAGTGGGCGTTCCCTCCTGGATTTAGCTTAGTCAAGGTTTATGGTGATATTCACAGACAGCGAATGAATTAACATGCCGCTGAAAGTGAGCATTGTTTGTAGAAAACACAAAAAATAAATTGAATTAGTGCATAAAATACTTAAAAGTACTTACAAAGATAATTTAGAAAAAGTTTGATTTATCATTACAGCTATTTATCTTCTGCAAACGTCTGTGTATGTTTACAGCACAAAAGTCGCTCTTCATTTGCATGACGTTGAAGGATTTTTAACTTTGTCGCGTCTCTCGACATGCCCACCTTGTCGCTGTCAATGATCGCTGTCGCTTGCATATATGGAGGTCACTGGAAGTCACTTACTCTCCATCGAAATGAACAGTCGCTTCGTCGATTGTCGCTTGTTGCTAGCCACTGCTTTGTCACCACTTTGTCGCTTGCCGCCGCTTTATCACTGCTTCGTCGTCTCTTGTCACTTTGTTGCTTTGTCACTTGTTGCTGCTTGTCGCCGCTTTGTTGTTTGTCGCGGCTTTGTCGCCGCTGTTGCTTTTCCCTGCTTTGTCGCCACTTTGTCGATTGTCACTTTGTTGCTTTGTCGTTTTGTCGCTTTGCCGATTTGTTGCTTGTCGCTTTGTTGCTTGTCGTCGCCTTGTCACTTTGTTGCTTGTTGCTTTGGCGCTTTATTGCTTGTCGCTTGCTGCTTTGTTGCTTGTCGTCGCTTGTCGCTTTGGCGCTTTGTTGCTTGCCGCGTTGTCACTTGCAGCTGCTTTGTCACCGCTTTGTCGCTTGTCGCCACTTTGTCGCTTGTCATTGCTTTGTCGCTTGTCATTGCTTTGTCGCTTGTCATTGCTTTGTCGCTTGTCATTGCTTTGTCGATTGTCGCTGCTTTGTCGCTTGTCGCGCATTGTCACCGCTTTGTCGACTGTGGCTTCTTTGTCGGTTGTCGCCGCTTTGTCGCTTGTCGCCGCTTTGTCGCTTGTCGCCGCTTTGTCGCTCGTTGCCGCTTTGTCGCTTGTCGCATATTGTCACCCCTTTGTCGATTGTCGCTTCTTTGTCACTTGTCATTGCTTTGTCGCTTGTCGCCGATTTGTCGCTGGTCGCACATTGTCACCACTTTGCCGCTTTTTTGTCAATTTTCATTGCTTTGTCGCTTGTCGCTGCTTTGTCGCTTGTCATTGCTTTGTCACTTGTCGCCGCTTTGTCGCTTGTCGCACATTGTCACCGTTTTGTCGCTTGTCACTTCTTTGTCGCTTGTCATCGCTTTGTCGCCGCTTTGTTGCTTGTTGCCAATTTGTTGATGCTTGTCACTTTGTTGGCGCTTGTCGTATGTCACTTTGTCACATGTCGCTTTGTCGCTTTGTCTTTTGCCACTTTGTTGCTGTGCCGCAGCGAGTTGCTCATAGTGACAACTCAGGTTAAGTAGAAAGCTCTCAGGGTTTTGTGATGGTGCTAGGGCGCATTAACTAAGGTTCAGCCAGAAAAAGGTTGAGAATTTGTATCATATGTAAAATGTGTAATGTTAAAATAAAAAAATGTTTGTTAGTTTGATTGATTTTTATCATATTTGTATTGTTAAGCATTGTTTTTGAAAGCCAAAATGTATTTTATACTTCCCTATAATATTACTTATATTATACTTTCTTAAAATATTGGCCTGAAGAATCTTTTAAAGTGTTTTAAACATCTCTGCAAACTCAAACTAACTTTTTTAGACTTTGTGAGGTGTATGAGTGTGTTTTTGATATGTTTTTACACGTACAATGTTTCTGCCTTGTTTTGTTTTTTTCTTTGAATGCCTTTGCATAATCTCTGGATTACTGTACTTTCTGTAATTCTTGAATCTTTTAAGTGTAAAGCACTTTGGGAATCAGATAAAAATAAATGTATTATTGTTATTATTATAATCAAGCTGACGTGGTGTTATAATATAAAATATATGATACGTTATGTGACAGTGCTAGTTATATTGTAATCGTATAATTTAATTTAATGTTTTTTGGTCAGTTTATTTTAAACAATTCTTGCTATCAGAAAACAACTAAACATTTTAGCTTAATAAACTCCTAATTTACTGCTTATTAATAGTTATCAAGATAGTAGTTAGAGTTAGGTATTAGGGGTGTAAAATAAGATCATGCAGAATATGAATTTTATAAGCAGCCAATATCCTAATAAAGTACATGCTAATAAGCCACAAGTTAATAGTAAGAATTGGTCCCTATACTAAAGTGGTATGTTGTGTCTGAATAACTGCAGGCTCTGCTGGAGAAACTGAGAGCTCAGATGGAAGCGGCCCGGCGGGCGAAAGAAAAGCGAGCTCAAATAAAAGACCAGAGCAAACAGGCATCTGAACCTGCCGTCTCGGAGAAAGAGGTGTTGCTGTTCAGAACCGACCCGTCAGGACGAGCCTGGCCCGTTAATGCCCCGTCAGAAACACTGGAGCCCAGAGGAGGACGCAGGAAACGAAAAGCGGTGAGATACAAAATTCTACAGCTTTTAGATTTTTATATATCTATAGATTACACGAAACATATCTCTGCGTTTATCGTTTGTGTCTTTATATACATGTATGTATGTATGTATGTATGTATGTATGTATGTATGTATGTATGTATGTTTGTATGTATGTATATACACACACACACACACACACACACACACACACACACACACACGCATATATATATATGTGTGTGTGTGTGTGTGTGTGTGTATATATATATATATATATATATATATATGTATGTATATAAATATATATGTTTATATATGTATGTATGTGTGTGTATGTATGTATGTATATATGTTTGTATTTTAGTATAAGCTTTATGTATATGTATTCTATTTTAGTATAAGCTTGCTGCCTGGTGAACTTCACCTTCAAATGAGAGCTGTTTTCTCCTCTTGTGGGATTGCTTTTATTTCTTTTATTATTTATTTCAGATTGAGACTCATCAGGATGGCGAGCGCGTGCGATATTTCGATGATGATGATGGTGTGGATCTGCGAGAGATGGTCAGACGGGAGAAGATGAGTTCGGCTGAGGACCAGAACGCTCTTTACTCACGCATGGCCGCCAAGGTAAGAGCTAACTGTGTCCTTTACGCACTGTCTGGAATATATGCATCTGAAAAAAGTTAAGTAGGTCAAAATCAATATTGTGTAAGCAAAAATACACAAAAGCAAGATCAAAGAAAAGTGCGCTCTCTCTCCGCTCCCTCTGGCGGCCTTTTTATATTGTAAGGTTTGTCAAAAATCGTACATGCATGTACATGTTTGTCAACAGAATTAAGATGCGGGGAAAATTGTATTTACTAACGGTGGTTTAACATCATAGATAATTTTGCAAGAGACTTCTTAAACTCACTACAGTGCTGATTTGTGATTGCTTTTTTGAGTGCAGAAATATGACCCATTTCAATCAAGTAAAGGTTATTGCACACAGCCATATCGCCCTGCAGCCCAAGCCTGGTTACTCTTTGAAGCTAAGCAAGGCTGAGACTGGTTAGTACCTGGATGGGAGACCATCTATACTGTAAATGAGCAGTTTTCCTTATTTTGTGATTCATTTTTTGTGTTTATTCCCATTTATTTATGGTTTTGAGTTGCATGATGGGACCTTGATCTAGAGGTCTGCATTCCCGCGGCTGTCCCGCGGGCGCCGCAGGACCCGACCAGATTTCTACGGCGCGGGTATAAATTTCCGAATAAATCACTGGAGCGGTCGGTAACGGGTTTAACTTGGGACGGGAACGGGCTGTCTAGCAATATCGCTCCCGACTCCCGAGTGAGCACGCGTATGTATGTGTGTAAATGAAATAGCGCGATGCTGTGTTTAGCTTGTTTGTTGCAGTGTGTGTGTGTGTGTGTGTGTGTGTGTGCGCGCGCGCGAATGAGAGAGCTTTGCCTGTGTGTGTGCTTGGTGCTTATGAGTGTGTGTTAGTGGGCGCGCGCGCGCGAATGAGAGAAAGCTTTGTCTGTGTGTGTGTGCTTGGTGCTGTACGTGTGTGTGTTTATACAGACAGCTTGTTATAGGCTGTCTGGACTGTATAACTGGGTGATTTTCAGTTTTGTTCTCCCCCCGCTCTTTAGCGGGATCGGGCGCAGCGGATAGAAAACGGGGCGGGTCGGGCAGCGGGACAACAAGTGCTTAATATAAGCGGGAGCGTTCGGGTTCGGGCTAAAACCTGGCGGGTGCGGGCGGGAGCGGGATTCAAAATTTAGTCCCGCGCAGATCTCTACCTTGATCCTTCTTCAACAACTTTTAATTTAGAAAAGTTTAAAATGACTTTATGATTCGATTTCTATTAATTGCACAGCCCTAGTAGAATACTGTGTGCTTGATTACATTTTTTTCCAATGGGTTAATTAATACGAGCCATATGCCAAGCTATATCATCCTGCAGCCCAAGACTGGTTACTCACTGAAGCTAAGCAGGGCTGAGCCTGGTCAGTAACTGGATGGGAGACCACATGAGAAAACTAGGATGCTGTTGAAAGCATAGACTGTAAAATATATGGACGTAGTATCTGTGACATCACCCATAGGTTTTTGAACACTGCAAAAGAAGCTAAAAGTTAGCGCTGCCAACCGTCACCATTCTGTTCTCGTGTCATCGCGTCCACGGCGGGATACCAAACAAGGGCAAAGGGGCAGAAAGTGAGCGGAGCTACAGACACCTGCTGGCATTTTGCTTAGACTTGGCCTAGACAGACTTTACTATGGGAGAATGCGTAATAGTTCATTACCTGCTACAACTAAGTGCACAAGGCATGCCATATCATCTGATGATTGTAGAAAATAATTCCATAAGGCAATTGGCTGTGTAGGGAAACCTTAACCAAAACAAAAACACGATGTATATGCCGAGCTCAGCAGCTAATTAGCCGGAATCAGCGAGATCTAGCTGTCACTCAAGTTACCACGCCCTTAATATACATTCATTCATTCATTTTCTTGTCGGCTTAGTCCCTTTATTAATCCGGGGTCGCCACAGCGGAATGAACCGCCAACTTATCCAGCAAGTTTTTACGCAGCGGATGCCCTTCCAGCCGCAACTCATCTCTGGGAAAGCCCTTAATATATCCTAATATGAACCAAACTAATGAGTTATAAAAAATTCACCCCCTCACAGTGGTTGTGAAGGGTAATCATAGCTATATACCCCAAAGCCATCTTTTGTACCAGGCTGTAAACATGTATCAGCTGTAAAATTGGCCCATTTACCATTGCAGTCAGAAATCACCTGGATTTCCTGGAGCCAGCCCCCAGAGGCGAGTTGATGAATTGCAATTTTAGTTTCTTCCATATTAGCTTCCCGAAGGAGGGCGGGAGGTCGCCGCTTTGTTGGAAGTGGCGTTAGTGAGGCCAGCAGGGGGCTCTAATCACTGTCTCTCCACTCCCCCAATAGCTGGTATGTGGTGAGCGCACTGGCGCTGTTGTCCTGTGGCTGCCGTCGCATCATCCAAGTGGGATGCTGCACACTGGTGGTGGTGTGGAGAGACCCCCCCTCATGATTGTAAAGCGCTTCGGGTGTATGGCCATACACAATAAATGAGCTATATAAATACACATTACATTACATTACAATACGCATGAGACTGAACATGCAAGTTTTGTGTGCGTGATTAATTTTTCAGAGTTGAATGACTATGAAAATGTCTGACTTTATTGTGCAATAACCGTAACACTAGTAAATATGCATTAGGGTTGGGTCGATAGACGATGCCATCGCCGATTGCTGAGTTGGCATCGTGAACCTCCGCCCCGCCCCCATCACAAACTCGCTTGTGAAAAATGACACTTAGGCCCTCTTTACACTGATACGTTTTGAGATTGCATTGTAAAAAGAAAATGATCCATGTTCACACTCGTTTCATCCAGCATTTCTGAAAAGGCCTTTGTCCACACTATACTGATGAAAACGCACTTCACGTGACCGCACACGCACAGATATAAAAAGTCATGCTCGCTTCTAGGGGTGTCACGATTTTGATTTTTAATCGAAATCGATCGAAATTTATGCTCAATTTCGATTATCGAATCAAAAAATAGAATCATCGATGCTGCCACGCCCCCAGGTCACGTCAGCTTGGCTTGCCAAGCGGGAAAAAACAGGCTTGTTGAAGTGCTTGTTAAACTGCAGAAGCTGGAGACCCGTCGACAGAACTTAAACCCTCTCCTCTTTCAATGAAGTCGCCGGTGTGTAAGCATTTTGGATTTCCAGTGAGTTATGTTGACAACGTTCGTGTTGTCGACAAAAAAATAACATAGTTTTGCAAGCTCTGCTATGTACGTATTAGGGTTCGTCCGATAGACAACACCGGCATGGCGATCCTCCGCCCACCCCGTTGCACATCCGCTCGCGAAAAGTACACACTCAGGCCCTGTTTACACTGTCTTTGTTTTTAAATGGCATTTTAGAACAACAACGATTTGACATCCACAGTGGCGTGTAGCATTTCTGAGCAGCCCTCTTTCCTCTCTACCTCTGAAAATGCACATCACGTGACCACACAGACACAGACGCACTCACAGCCATGCGCTTGAGACAGCAGGTCCAGGCAGTCAGAGGACTGCTTCAATCTTTCACTCACTTGTACTTAGTCATTTTAGCGAACACCTCAGATACTGTTGGCTGGTTCCTGTTGGTTGTGCGTCTTTTTTACCGACGCCATTATAACGACACAGATCACTGCCTATTCACGAGTCCCGCAGAAAAAGTGATTGACAGGTGGTAATTATGTGTGTATCTTGCCTTTATTCATTTACTGTATGATTTGTTTATGGGTAAAACAAAGACGATGCAGGTCAGGTAGTTTAAACGGTAGGCTACAAATAATAATTGGTCATTAATTAATTAATTATTCATAATCGAAAATCGAATCGAATCGTGCCTTTAGAATCGAAAATGTAATCGAATCGAGGATTTGGAGGATTGTGACACCCTTACTCGCTTCTGAGATCCAGGCAGTCAGCAGGTGCTCAAAACCCAGAGAGCAGTGCATCTTCGTACAGTTTATTAAGGACGTACCGCTGGATCTCGTCCCACTATAGTTGTTTAACGTGATATTTAATTAATCTTGTCTCTTATCCTATGACTCTTCGGTCATTTGAATCTATCAGGGAACGTGTCACAGCGTCGGTACACTGCTTCAATCTTTCGCTTTTACTTTTGTACTTAGTCATTTTAGTGAAACCCTCAGATACTGTTGGTTGGTTCCTGCTGGTTGTGCATCTTTTTACCAAACAAGTTTGTCAACGCCATTTTAACGACACAAATCACTCCTATACATGCCAAAGTCCAGCGGAAAAGTGATTGACAGGCAGTAATTTGTGTGTACCTTTATTTATTTATGATTTGGTTATGGGTAAACAAGGACCATGCGGGTCAGGTTGTTGAAACGGTAGGCCACAAATAATCATTCGTTATGAATGATTAAATATTCATAAACAATTAATTCACCGCCGCCTATGACGATGATGCCATCATCCATCACAATGTTTCACATGAGACATTGTACGATGCCAAATTGGTCGACATGGCCCAACCCTAATGCGCATAACATTGTTTGTTGTGTTAAAGAATTGGGATGGAATTGTAATTTTCAATTAAAACCCTAATTTTAGGCTCAAAAAGAAACATGTAAAGGCCCGTGCACACCAAGATGTTTTTTGCTCGCATTTTTCATCAACATTTAACGCCTTGTGACTAATAAAGGCCGCCAATGTGATCGTGCACACCAACGTGCAAAACGCCAGGCGCAAAAATGTCATTTAAAAAAAACGCCTCATGCTCGTTTTTTATTTTATTTAATGCGCCGCATTAAAACATTCTCCACCAATCAGGTTGGCACTTTAGTTCACGTGCACGGAGCTGCTGGAGTTCCCGTAAACAGCACTTAGAGGCGCTCAAGCACAAAACTGTCAGCGCACATTGAAGAAGATGCCCAGAGGCGATATGAACGTGGAGCTGCTTATTGCTCTGTGAACAATAATCATTTCTTCATTGCTAGAGCTGGAGCTGCTGCTTGAACCATCCATGCTTGTTCGAGTCACCAATAACTTTAACAACAAGCAT